GGGGGGGGGGGGGGGGGGGGGGGGGGGGGGGGGGGGGGGGGGGGGGGGGAGTAGAGCAATATTGGGTTTCTGACACTGACTGTACAACAGTAAGCGCCACCCCGGAAGGACCTGGGATCAATGAAAATCATGCTCAAGAATGTACGTCGGTAACTTAAGAAGTTGGCGATGTGAAAGCTCTGTGGGAGCTTCGCGAAGAGATGTGAGAGCACAGCAGTCTTCAGAGACAACTGTTTGATTCGCCATTAAACTTGAAGTGACCCCGGCCCTTTCATGCGACGATTCGTCGTGTCGGCAAAGGGGCATGCTGCTGAACAACCTGAGCGTGAGCGACGGGTGCAAGGTCTCGTTCGACTCCGAATCGTCGGCTGCCGCCACGGCCCCGCCTTCTCCAGAGGGTGCGGTGGATCGGTCTAGGCGGGACAAGGTTTTCAGGAAGCCGGAAGGCGTGGACGACGGCGAGGATAGCAAGGTAAGCAAGGCAGAAAGGACACAGCAGTTGCTGCTGTAGGTCACGTTTGTGGTGACGATATTCAAATTGCACAAATATCAGCTGTCAACACTTGCTTCTGTTTTTGGTGTGTTTTGTTTACGAATACCCCCCCACCCTCACACCCTCCCAACGATGCCCATCCCCCCGAAATATCCGAAAAGGATGGCGAAACTCCTGCCGAGGAGGAAGCAGGGAAGCAACACCCAGCGGCGGCAGAAGCGGCCGAAGGAATGACGAATATCAAGGACCTCCGTTCGACGCTGTTCTCCCTCTGCGGAGACTTATCGGTTAGTGGTCTCGTTTGTGGCGACTTTAGGTGGTGTGCATTCCATGGGACATTCTATGGGACACTCCATGGGACGCGAGATAATGTCACCACGGTATTGTTTGTGTCTGTGCTGCAGCGACAGGATGTTGACGGGCATCAAAAACCTTCGGTCGACGCTCTTCTCCCTCTGCGGAGACTTGTCGGTTAGTGGACTCATTTGTGACGGTTGTAGGTGGTGTGCATTCCATGGGACATTCCATGGGACATTCCATGGGACATTCCATGGGACGCGAGAGAATGTCACCGAGGTATAGGATGTTGAGAGTTATCAAGAACCTTCCGTCGATGCTGTTCTCCCTCTGCGGAGACTCGTCGGGTACTATAAGGATGCGAGGGAACGCACGGGGGTGTGAGCGTTTTTCATAGCGTGGTTTGTCCGCAACCAGGAGGTTACCAGTGGGTTTTCGAAATATCACGTCGAGGGCTTTCCTGAGAGGTATCGGTTGGTGTTCGTAACCTCCTGGTTGCGGACAAGTCAAGCTTTGAAAAACGCTACAGTAACGCACCCGTCTGTTCTCTCGCATCCTCACGGTAAGTGAATTTATTGGTTGCGGGGTTAGGTGGCGCACCTTTAGTGGATGCACGGCGCGACATGTACCCGACATGTTCCGGCGACACGCGCTTGGCGGAAACGAAGGGCCTACGAGTTTCCTCCCTCTGCAGAGATTCGTTCGTCTGAGTAACTTATTTTAGGTCTCGACCGACATCCTTATCTTATCCCTTCCTTCGTGTCCCACCTTCCCATCCCTCCCCGTAGACGTTGGCCCTGTGCCCCCAGCTGGAAGAGTTCCGCGACCAGATCGCGGAGATAGAGGAAGAAACTAACAGGGACAGCGGCGAAGGTGAAGTGACAGGCACCTCCGGCTCTCAGCCTGCATCTTCTTTCCTCTTGACGGAGTCGAGGATGGAGTTGTAAACGTTGGGATCAGTATTGTGGTGCTGATACTGGACGTCGGTGTGTGGTTTTTCTTCTCTTTTTTTCTTTCTTCTGTTGTCTTGACAGGAAACCACCTCTCACGGCAATTGTGCCGCTTACTCCAACCCGTTGTCACACAGATGCTCATCGGGGCGAAACGTTATGTTTATGAACACATAACAATGTATGGGGCGACACATAGCCTTCAAGATACGTTGCCCGCTTCACGGGCGCGTTGTTTGAATAACAACCCTGACTGTGAGTGCCCTTTGAAGCAGGACGACTGTAGACATACACCAGCTCACGAATACTCCCGCCAACGAATTCGTCCTCCCTTCAAGCAGCAGCCGCTCCGCACGCCGGAAGGGGAGGGGCACGTGGTGATGACGGTGGTGCGGAGGCAAGCTACGACACAGACGACTCTGACGGAGGAGGCGGGGGGGGAGGTTTCGACGACGTCCCCGGGTTGGATGACGCCTCTGTGGACGGCGGGGGGAATTTCGGGGCAGGGGGTGATGACGGGGGGCACGACTTCAACCTCGGTGGTGGCGCTGATGACGACGATGCGTGAGTGGAGAGTAGCTGCGCTACTGCTGCTGCTGTGTGTGTGTGTGTGTGTGTGTGTGTGTTTTGTCAACAGCGTTGGTTGAGATGGAGCGCCGGCGCGCTGCGGTTCTTGCCGGATTCCAACCTCAGTGTTGTTGCTGATGACGACGATGCGCGAGTGAAGAGTTGCTGCGCTGCTGTGCCTATTTAATTTTTTTGCTAACAGCTTCATTGGTGGAGATTGGGCACTGGCGTGCCGTTTTGCTGGTGTTGGTTCTGATGTTGTTGGCGCATGAGCGTCGTGTCTTTGGTTCTGCGACTTTTTCTTTTTTGCAGCGCTATGCTGGAGCATTGGCGTACCGTGCTTTTGCTGGTGCAGCGAGCAGCCCGACATTGTGGCGAATGGAAACGTGGGACCAAAACCTCTTGTCACGATCTCAACATGTACATGAACCTCGATATATCGAATAATGTCACTGCCTGCCCTGAATAGTGGCATGTTCTCCTTTTGCCCCAACGTGCCACTATATCGGGCTGCTTGCTGTAGGTTAAAGCGTGACGCCGTGAAACCTCGCGAATGTACATATGAATAACACCGGAAAAATGCTCTGCCCGCTCTCTTGATTATACCTCGTTCGAAGCGTCGTACGTATTGAAAACACCGGAAACGGATCCCCCTCCACCGATAACGCTTTTCTTTCCCCTCGGTCCTTGAGACTTCGAACGGTTGTCTCGTCATCGGCGTTTTTGGGCCGCGTTATTATAATGGCGTAGCGGTAGCGGGGGGGCACCTCTTCCTTGGTCCGTCCCACGTCAGCATGCAAGACGCGTCACCACACAGCAACTCAGGAGTTGAGAGGATGAGCCTAATAACGAACAAAATTTAAGAACTTGAGCACCAATTTTTTAGCTCGGTTAAGAATCCCTACACTACATAACCCCTGTACAGCGACCATTCGTAACATGACCCTAGCCTCGGCCGAAACTAAATAGAGGTTCTTTACGTGGTGGTTGAGCGTTCTGTACAGCAGTGTCGTGCGGTTTTATTTTTTTTTACTATTAGTAGCGCCTTTTTCCTGGTACTGACTCCACCGTCACTCACGAACAGAGAACAGCCTACGTATATGCAGGCGCTTTGGTCCCTGTGTTATTGTTGCCATTTCCCTCAGTGAGCAGTGAGCATACTTTGCTAAATTGTTATCCTGGGGGGGCATCACCATGGTGCACGCATCGATTTCGGGCGTCGAACTCTTGTCCAGTAGTGGTCGCAGGATTTTTCGATTATGTAATCACGTTGGATAAAGAATGCGATCGGGGAAGTTGGGTTCGGGTTGGGGAATCGTAGGGTCTGCTTCCCCCCTCCCTGTTGTATTTCCTCATTAACTTTCAATCGCGGGAAAGCGGTCCATTTTTGTCGTCTAACCTCTACCCCCCACCCCCCACCCCACACACCATCTGCAGGGACCCCTTCCAGGCTGACAACGGGGGTGGGTTCGGTGGCGGCGGCGGGACCTCTTTCCTTGTGGACGGCGATGGGGAGTTCGGGGCTGGGCTTGGGTCTGGAGGCGGTGCGGGCTCGTCGGAGTCGGGTGGTGTGGGTGCGGCGGGGATGGTAGTGACGCCGATTACTCTCGAGGACAGGCTTTGCGTCGACATGAAGGCAAGTTCTCGCGGCCGTTGTTGTTGTTGTTGTTGTTGTTGTTGTTGTTGTTGTCGTTGTTGTTGTCGTTGTCGTTGTTGCTCATGGTTGACGATGATGTTGGCATTGATGTCGTTGGTAACAGTAGAATAGTTGCGATGGTGTTGCTGTTGTTGTTGTTGTTGTTGTTGTTGTCGTTGTTGTTATTGTTGTGCTGATGTCATTTTCGATGCTGCGTTGCTTTGCATGTCGGTAGGCGTCGTTGTGGTGTATGTGATCGGGTTGTTGCTGTGCATGTCAGTTATCGTCGCCGTCGCTGTTGCTATTGTTTTAGATCGGTTGTCGAGGTGATGCTGTTATTCCTTTGCATATCGATTGTCGCCGTCCTTGTTGCTGTACAGTGTATGACACAAGATAACACACCCCCTTGACCAATTTTTCGAAGCTCGATTTCTCAACTCCAGGAACAGTCACAGCGCCGAAAACGGCGGCGTTGAAAACCGTCTCATCGAGAGCTTTTCGAAAATGTATCGTTTCGTTAATGCATCCTCTTCGTCGTGGAGAAGTCGAGCTTTGAAAATGGGTCCAGGGGGTGTGTTATCTTGTGTCATATACGGTAGTTGGCATTGGTGCTGTTTTCCTTGTGATGCATGTTTTTTTGGTGGCGTGTGAGTTTCTGACTACAGGGCATAAGGAGGAGGCCATGAGTCGCCATGATAACGAAGGGTACAATTGTCGTTACCTTGACCAAATACCATACGTAGGTGACACAAGATACCGCACACCCCGGACAGACTTTCAAAGCTCGACATCTCAGAAAGAGTGTCGGTGGCGACAATGGCGAAACGTTCTCGTCGTACAAGCTTCCGAAAATGTATAGTCTAATTGATGCATCCGAGACTAGCCTAGCCCCCCTTGACCTAACACCTCTCACAATTGCGACGTGTCGGTTGTGGTTGCTTCCGCAGATCGTGAACGACGACTACGCATTCTACGACACCGGCGCCCTTGCGGCGGCAGCGGCCACGTCCAGCAACAACAACTGGGCCGGCGCCTCGCATTGGAAGTTCGTCGGCGTTAAGAAGAAGGTGGGGCGACTTTGGGACGCACTTTTTTTTCCCTTGGACTGCCTTCGCGGCAAATTTAGTTTGCGAGGAAATAGAACAGGGAGCGGGTAGTATACCTATTTCGCTAAGCCTAGCCCTGGCTCAACTTCTCCGATTGCATGGTTTATCCAATATGTCTGCTCAAAACCATAACCCTGCAAAGGCTGCTATTTCTTTTAACTCTCGTCATGCGCCAAGTGATGCGACTTGTTGGGACCGAATGTTTGTTTCTAGGCCAGAAACAAAGGCAACAGCCACACTTTTCCGTATATGACACAAGATAACACACCCCCTTGACCAATTTTCGAAGCTCGATTTCTCAACTGCAGGAACAGCCACAGCGCCGAAAACGGCGGCGTTGAAATCGTTTCGTCGAGAGCGTTTCGAAAATGTATCGTTTCGTTTATGCATGCATCCTCTTCGTCGTGGAGTAATCGAGCTTTGAATATCGGTCCAGGGGGTGTGTTATCTTGTGTCATATACAGGGGGTGTGTTATCTTGTGTCATATACGGTACTCTTTCGGGCGTGGGGGATCTCGTTAACGTGTTGCACACAGGTCCGATAATGATACTTGGTTCACGGTTCATGGCGTAGCGAAGGCATACACACGGCACTGACGACGACCGACAGAAAATTGAGTTGTGACAACCTTCCACAACCGTTGTTTTTTGGAGCTGCGGTCGATGTGCGATGGTGGGGGGCGAGAGGCGGGTATAGGGTCATGCAGGTCATGTCACGCGTTCGGTGTTTCCCTACACAGAAGTCATTAGGCCCGTCCCTTGCTTTGTTGAATAGGCTCTCTCTCGCGTTAACTCTTCACAAAAATATTGTGGTCCACCTGCGCAGCGGCCGGTGCGCAACACTCGCGGGCAGGGGGGTGGCGGGATGGGACCCGATGGGGAGCCGATTGTCGACGAGGACGGCAATGAGCTGGACGCCGGGGGTGCCGTGGGAGGGCGCAAGGCAAGGGGTAAGCGGCGGCCTCCGGCGATCGACTTCGATGCCCCGGTAAGAGGCTCGCACGGGAGCTTTGGAACAGGTGTATAACGTCGGAGCAAGTATTATGTGCGTGTGGCACTCAATTCTTCCATATGGCAACTGTAAGAACTCCGATGCGTGCGCGCTTTGGGAAATGGAAAACGTTTTCGACCCGAAAAATATGCATACTAAACAATGTTCGACATACGTATAGCACGACTTTTGAGAGTGGGATCTTTCGACCCGGACGGCAGGACGACTTTGGGAACAGGCGTTTTTCTCCCGACCCGAACCGTTTGGTCTACCACGACGTGTTGCTTGCAACGTCGATGGCGCCTCAGCTTCACGGCGTTTGGCACTCTTCGGTCATCGATCACCTGGCCCGTTCTCTTCACAACCAGATGTTCAAGTTTGGGTGAAGTTGCTGCTGTCGAAAGCGTTCACAAGTTCCAGGTTCACTCAGGCACGCAGGAACAGCGAAACCAACACGTGCAAATAGCTTTTTGGATAATGACCCATGTCCACGTTCATAACGGGTGTGCCGTGGGATACGACCTCATTAGTGGTTTCCGTACAAGAGCGGGCGATCGTATAGCCCGATCGCACGACCCGTCCCTTCTTAAACACAATATTACCCGTTTCCTTTCTCCCTTGTCTCTGCCNCCCCCAAACATACCCTCGTGTGCCGAACCACATAGCCTGTCGCAGATAACGCCACGCCCTTTTTTTGACCACTACCGCCATACTTTTCTCCCGCGTCTTACCCCCCGCCTTCCCATACCCTCGTGTGCCGAATCACACAGCCTGTCGCAGAGAGCGCCCTGGCACCACCGCCTAAACCCAAGTCTCGGGGGCGGCGATCGCAAGAGCCGACCCTTCTCTCCGAGGACTACGTCAAGAGGTGCCTTCAACAGCGTGCACCTTGCATTAAACAGCAGTATGCATTCAGCAGTAGAGGTCCCTCCCTGTGTTGTGTCGGCACTACACCGGACCGGCGCTATTCAACGTGTCGAGAATGGCTTGGAAATTCAGTGTTTGCCCCGCCGGAAACATCGGCACTATTCCGGGCACAGGCACTAAGCAACGGGCACTAAGCCGGGACCTCTGCTGTGCCTGGGGCAGCGTTGTGCGGCCTGTTTGTGGTGTTTGTGGTGGCATTTTTGGATTTTTTTTTTTTTTCCCGCGGAAGTGAACCGAAGTACTGTGCGATTGCGGCTATGCTGCACTCGTTTTCACGTGCCCTGGAACTCGAAGGATGGGTGCCTAAAAGACAAAAGCCCTTGCTTTGTGTTTTTCGCAGGTTATCTTGAAAGAATGGATATGCATTAGCCCGTGCGGATTGTCTGTCTATGCGACGTTGGTTTGTCCAGACCTGTGCCGGTTGCGATGGGCTCTGTTGGTAGCCCGCTCTCCCCCCTCTTTACCCTATGCTACAGTTTGAACTATTCGCCTTTCGTGCGCATGCGGGACATTTGTTTCACACTCCCTCGCCCGCCAGTGCCTATCGCAACCCGCTTGGTGTGCGTCTTTTTTTTTTTCGCATCGACCTCGCTACTGTAACCGGGGCTGCCAACGAAAATGCATCCGTTTCAGTTCGACTGATTGCCGCCAGAGCTGCTTAGGCCATGATCTTAGGTGTTTCTGCTTCTGCTTCTGCTGCTGCTGCTGCTGCTGCTGATGCTGCTGCGCTGTTCTTTCTCGGTTGCTGTAATTCATGCTGCTGCCGCCTATGCTCTTGAGTTTTTCTATTTCTTCTGCTTATCTTGCGGTCGTGATTGTCGCCGTTGTGGACGACGGCGGGATTATCCGTCGTTGCCGTTGCCGCTGTTGCTGTTGCTGTTGCTGTTATTGGTGCTGCAACCGCTGTTTTTTTACTGCTGCTATCGTAATTGTGCGGTCGTTGCTGTTGACGACGGGGCTGCTGTTCTTTGTCCTTGCTGCAAACTCTGCAGGGCGTTTAAGGCGGCAGAGGATGGCTCGTCGAACTACGCCCTGCCGGAAAATGCTAGGTTCAAGGTGTGTCGACGTCGTTGTCGTTTTCTATGACGATGTCGATATCATTCCCCCTACGCGCCTGGCGGGCTTAGCGTTGTTGTCGTCGTCTTTGCTGCTGCTGCATCTCATTGAGGACAGCGGCAGGGGTGGTTTTAGTCCGGAAAAATGTGCAGTTTTATGTTATTTGGGCATGTCCTCTCGACGAAACTGCTTAGGTGACCTCGCTGCTTGCTGTAGTGGTTGCTGTTTCGCTGCTGGCACTGTCTCTCCGTTTCTCTGTCTCCCCACATCCCCCCCGGTGTTTGCCATCGGGATTGGGTTTTCGTCGCTTGGCAACGACGTTGTAAAACAAGCCCCCCCCCCGGTGTTTGCCATCGGGGTTGGGTTTTCGTCGCTTGGCAACGATGTTGTAAAACAAGCCAATTCACTTCGTGAACTCGGCAATCAGGTTACCGTTTTTTTTTTTTTACCTCCGTTTTTTGTTTTGGCGGTAACCATAATGGTGGTCGAGTAGATCATGTTGTGCGGGGTCGAGAACCCTCACTCCGCGCAAGGGGGATGATCGCACCACGTTGTGTTAAAATGGCCACGCACCCTCGAGGCAGTTACACAGTGCTTACAACTGGCAGGAAGTGAAAGCACCAGAAAATAAATTAAGTCATACGCAGCTGTCATCCGTACGCAAGGAAGTAAGCACAAGATGCCGAACACCCTTAGCAGGATGCAGCGCACCCTTCATGCGACTCGCCGAATATCTCACGGCGCTTCGCGCTTGGTGATGTGAGAGCCTGGTCCGGTGAGAACCCGGCGTGCTCCGTCCCGGCTTTGTAGGGATGCGAGGCCAATGGTCTAACGACTACGGCATGCACGACTATGAGTACCCCCCCCCCCTCCCCCTGCCCCACCCATCTCTCCAAGTGAAACCCACGTCTCGATTCTTCGAAACCGTCCAATGTCTTCGCTCTCGGCCTGCTTCGCGTGTCGCACCCACGCCCTCCTTTCGCCAACAGACCAAGGACCTGGGTGAGCTCTTCCTACGGACGGGAGCTTTCACTAAGCGTTGGGCCGCCGGGGAGGCGGGAGAGGCGTCGGATGGGGCGAGGGTCGACCTTCAAGGGTTTCACGATACGTGAGGATTTTTTTTCTTTTCCGTCCATTCACTCAACATACAATAGATCGAAAAAGATCCGCTAGATACAGAGTTGCATGCTTGATCGGCGGTATTTCTTGGAAGGGTTGATCTTCAAGGGTTTTTTATGACGCGTGAGGTTGTTTTTTTTCGTCGATTCACTCAGAAAGAGAGTGGATCCATGCACGAATGATCGAATGATACTTGTTCGTTCCGCGGTTGTTGTTGTTACCGCGGATGATCTTGAAGGGTTTCATGACACGTGAGGCGTGTTTTTTTGACGTCGCCTCACCATGAGAATTGGTGCAACGACCACGCTTTATTGTGTTTTGTGTGTGAGGAGCGTCGCATTGTCGCATAAAGCGTCACATGTCTTGGGAGGTATTTCTCTTACATCGATTTTCCCGTTACTTCTTACAGTCGTAGGTCCTCAATAAGGCGGGTGCCCGCTGCAACGCGTGTTAATTTGCTGGCACAGATGGAATATTCATTGAATAGGGCGGGTGCCCTGTGTTGGACGGGTAGATCAGTCTCGCGCATGACCGCTATCTAGCCGCATCCAATCAATTGTTGACGCTCGCGTCGCCAAGGTGTCCCTCCAGTCCGACCCGGGTCAAGCAGTAGAACGTGGTGCATCTTCATCTAGTATTGAGCTGTTTGTTTCTTCCTTTTGTCGTGGGTTGTTTGTTGTTGCAGCAACAACGGCGGTAGGAGTGACGACGACCTTCTCTTTGCCGACGGTGAGTGTAGTCGGATGTGCGTCTGGCGGTGGTGCCATTCAGGGTAAGCTGCGGGCTGGTCTCGTGTGGTTATTGCTGTTGTTCACGATGGTGTTAAGATTCGGTAGTACTGTCAGCGACTGAAGACCCGGTGATGCTGCCCCAGGCCCAAGCGGCTACAGCCGGCGGCGGCAGGCAAACATGTGATTGGTGATATGGGCGATCGTAGTCTCCGCCACCAGGCGTTGCCGATCGGGAGAATGCAGCTCGTAGAGGTGGTGGCCGCAGTCCGTGCAGGTGTGGGTAAAAAGCAGTTGTGCGGCAGACCACCAAGGGCAAACCGGGGTCAAGCGCCCGCTTGCGGCTAATGTTACCATGTAAGTATTGGCCACCATGTAACGTCTTACGTCTGTCCTGTTAACCCCACCTGATCGATCGATCGATCGATCGATTGATCGGTCTCTCGCAGCGGACGATGGCTACGGGGGTGGCGACGACTTTGACGACGACGACGATGATGACGACGACGGGGGTTTCCAGTTCGGCGGAGGCGGTTTCGAAGCGGCCGGGGGCGACGACAACGGCGGTGGCGGCGGCGGACTCGGGACCGAGGTTGACGCGGACGGCGTTTTTGTCGATAACTTTGAGGGCCAAGGGTTGCTGGCCGCCGGCCGTCGAGTGGAGAAGATCAGCGTAAAGTAAGAGTTGGGGATGCCGGCCGGACTCTGGAGCCGTTTTTTCCCGTCGTTTTCACAATGAAACTCTTCAACAACTTTTGATTCTGATTTTCGTCGAAGCCTTTCGTTTTTTTCTACCTGATTCCGGATTTTCAGAGGCAGGAAATTAGAGAACATTACGTGAGCGTCGATCGGAAGGACCTCCCCCCCCCCTTTTTTTCGGTTTCACCTCCCTAACGGTTTATCGGTGCCACTGCTGCTGGTACCGCTGCTGCTGCTGCTGCTGCTGCTGCTGTCAGCTACGCGAAGAAGGCGAAGAGGGTGGACGTACGGCGCCTCAAGGGGGACCTGTGGCAAAAGATCAACACGAAGCTCCAGTCGGACGCGGCGGTGGTGGACGTTTACCGGGATGAGGGGGGTGGAGGGGCCGAGAACCGTTCGGAGGAGGAGGTGAGGAGGAAGTTGGCGAGTTGTGTTGGGATACGTTCTTAGAGGTGGCTGTGTTGGGGTTGACTGAAACTTAGAATTTAGGAGCGGAGGAGGAGAAGGAGGAGGAGGAGGAGGAGGAGGAGGAG